ATAGATCTTATCTGGACTTCCACAAATAATCTGAGTATCAATGAAAAATGTATATTCATCTATGCCTCTACTTCATACCTGTAATTTTAGGTCAAGCTAACTTACTCAACTCCTTAGCTCTTGCAGAGTGAGTGACTGTCTTTTCCGTATTCATTACAGGTGGACACTGTTTACACCATGATTATGCTAGAAAAGTCATTCATAAACTTGATAAATGTAGGACTCTTACTCTGTGGTTACATTTTACATATGTTGTTTAGCTATTTAAAAGCACTATTTGAAGACAATGATCTGAATCAGTTAGCAGTTGTTTATTATTACATTAAAAATCCTTTGAAGCCTAGTGACTGAAAACAGTAATCATTTTCTTTGCTTATGATGCTGGGCTGTGCGCACTGATTGAAGCTCAGCTGCATGGGGTTTCTGAGTGCTTTTCTTGGGTCACTTGTGCAGTGGTGGTCAGCTGGCAGCTCAGGCAGGCTTGTGTCCCGAGGTGGACATCTCTGTTTAGCAGCCAGTGCTGTCTGTCTGGTGAGCCAGATGCCTTTGGCAGTCCGATGTAGTTTCTTCTTTTGGTAACTAAATCTCAATTAGGAAAGAACAGGGAAAAAATGAGGGTTCCTTCATATCTAGACTCAAAATAATATTCTTCTACATTCTATCAGCCAAGCAAGACATATGTCCAACCTCTATTTAAGAGGCGAGGGAATGAACTGTACCTCCTAAAGCTTGGAATGATAGACACATTTCAAAGAGATCATGAGGATCTTGCATCCATTTTGAAACCTGGGTATCGCAGTACTCATTAGATGAACAAAATAAGAAATAGAACACTTGGAAAATAGATGGGTTGTGATTTGGGCACTGATATTTAGGTTGTCAAACCAAGTGCTTCTTACATACTTGATCCAGTAACATATTTCCGGGAATTAGAATAGGTGCAGCCCTGGTTCTATTGCCAACTTTCTTCTCTGCTTGCCCAAGTTTTGCTCCCACCCTCTGGATAACTTTTCATCCCCTGTAAATGCTTTTAAGAATTGTTGTCAGAGTGACTTGGAATGCACAGCTGGAGTGGACTGAAAGACCTGAAATACACATTAGTATTTTTGAAGAAGAATACCAAAATTTTCATGGGTATCAGTAGACCTGGCTTTAAGAAAGAAATAGAGGGAAATCTCCCGTGATGGCCATTTTTCAGAAAAGGGGCTTAAATGGACTGTATTCACATTTTCAAGAGGTTTAAACTATCAGTCGTTATGTTATCTCAATGTAAATTTTATATCCATATGTGAATCCAAAGTACTTCAATTCATACAATGCATGAATATTAAAGGAATAATATGTGTAAAGGAAATAATGCATTGCAAAAACTCATGAATATTATCATTATTTTGCTTTTCCTTTTATTATTTTTATTAATATAAAGCCAGCAGATTTCAAGGGATACTCATTGCAATTCCAATAAAGCAACTATACTTCTCTCTCTCCTACCCTCTCATAATTCTCTTCATTCCCTGCCCTCTCACCATTCCATAAATTTTTGAAAAGACATAATTTTAATGCATTTGATACTAGTGAGTAAAAAGTAGCAGGGTCACAATTCCACAGAGGTATAAACAAAGGACAAAATGTCAGTCATATCACAAAATGTCTGTTTCATCCCTGTGCTCTTTTTCTGTGTTAATTCCTGCATTAACTGCCACATACCAGAGAAAACATATGCTAGTACTTATTTTGAGACTGGCTTATCTTACTAAGTATGATAGTTTTCTCTTGCATATATTTTGTTTCAAAGGGCAGAGTTTGCTTTTTTTTTCTCTTATTGTTAAGTAGTATTGTATATGTATAAAGAAAATGTATACCCCATTTTCTTTATCTGATCATCAATTAATGGACATCTGGGTTGATTCCATGTCTTAACTATTGTAGATTGAACTATAATAAGAATGGATATGCAAACTACTCCTTCATATGCTGATTTCATTCATTTTGATAAATTCCTAGCAGAATGATTGGGCCACATTTTAGCTCTTATTCAGACTCTGAGGAATCCCCATACTGTCTTCCATGAAGATTATATTACTTCACATTCTCACAGCAGTAGGTTAGTGTTCCATGTCAGGTAGCGATGAACTTGGTGCATGGAACTGATAATCATACACGTGGATTACTAACTGATGGTTAAGAACCAAAGTTTATTAGCAGCATCAGGCTTTTAAAGACAGATGGTCACTTAGGCATAAGGGAGGAGGGTTTGAGGGATTTACATACCAACAGCAAGAGGGAGTTTATGAGTAAGCAATTTGTTCCTCTAGCAGGTGCCTTTTCTTGTCTGTTAGTTCCTGTTCCCCTGCCAGAGAGAGCAAGCATCTCTCTTTGATCTGCTATCTAAGCCTGAGGATTAGGGAACTTCTGACCTATGCATTTCCACATCAACTGCTCCCAGAACCTTCCTGGCTGGATGGCCGCCCCACACTAGCAAGGCCTCCCAGTGTCCTCTGTTTAATCAGTTGTTTTCTTACAGATTTAATAAATTGTCCTCCTTCATAATAGGGTACATTTTACCCCACGTTCTCAGCACTATTAATTGTTTTTGGATAATGGCTGTTTCATCTGGATCATGTGGATGATACCCAGTTGAACTGAGTTGAGATGAAGCAACACTGTGGCTTTTTATTTACATTTCTCTGATGCCTTAGGGATACTAAGCAAGGTTCCATGTATCTGTTGGTGATTTGTATTTTCTTCCTTTGAAAATTTTCTGTTCATGTCCTGTTCCCTTCTCTTAACTGGGTTGCTTATTTTGTTTTTGTTGCGTTTCTTGAGTTCTTACAGAGCCTGGATAATAATACATTATCATTTAACTAAATAGAAAATATGTTCTCCATCCTATGGGTTGCCTTTTCATGTGGTTGTGTGTTTTCTTAGCAGTGGAAAGCTTCTTAGTTGGATGCAATCACATTCGTATATTTTTTCAATAAGCCTTTGCCTAGGCCAGTGTTTTGTAGCATTTTCCCAATGTTTTCTTCTAGTAATTTGGCATTATCACCTCACAGACTTAGGCATGGTGAGTTGACTTTTCTGTAAGATGTAAGGAAAGGGTCTTGGTTTGTACTTCCGTGTGCATTGTGCATAGATTCAGTTTTCCCAACAGCATTTAGGAAGAGATAGTCTTTACTCCAGGGGTTTGTTATTTGTAATTGAGTGGATTGATTCCTAACTTTTTTATACTTTCCTATTAAAGAACATGTCTATTTTGATACCAGGACAAGGGTGTTTTGATTATAACTGCCTTGTAGCATCTCTTGAATCTGATATTATGATGCCTCCAACTTTCCATATAAATTTTAGCATCATTTTTTTCCAGACTTGAGACGAATATCATTCATATTTTGATTTGGATTGTACTGAATCTATAAATTGCTTTGTTAATGTGGACATTTATGATATTAATTCTTATAATCCATAACATGAAAGACTTTTCCATGTTTTGGTTTTAGAAGGAAGGACTCTGTAGTTCAACATTCAATGTAACTACTATTGATATTTGAGAAACTCTCAGGTTACGCCTTTGGGAATCTCAAATTCAAGAACTGTCAAGGGCCCAGCACAGTAACCTAGTGGCAAAAACCCTCACCTTGCATGTGCCAGGATCCCATATGTTCCACTTCATATCCAGGTTCATATCCCAGCTGTTCCACTTCCCATCCAGCTTCCTGCTTGTGGACTGGGAAAGCAGTAGGGGATGGCTCAAAGCCTTGGGACCCTGCACCTGCATGTGACACACAGAAGAAACTCCTGGCTCTTAGATTCAGATTGGTTCAGCTCTGGCTGTTGTGGCTACTTGAGGAGTGAACCAGCAGACAGAAGATCTTTCTATATCTCCATCTCTTTGAAAATCTGCCTTTCCAATGAAAATAAATAAAATCTTTAAAAAAAAACTATCAGTTAATAAGAGCTTTCTATTATTATAATAACTACCTGCCTCTATAAGAACTACTCAGTAATGGTGGCGTTACTGACAGGATTAAGTGAGTGAATTCTGGAAGGGCTTGAAAGGTCAGTGGGTAGAAATTGACTGTTGCTAATAAGGTGAAGGATAATTGATAGGGCAGTGATGAATAAACAAACAGGAAAAAAGAGTTCCCTTTCTCACCTTCTGTTGGTCAGTGCTTTTATTGATGTAATTTTTGCAGCTAGCATTTTGTGTAACTCTGTTGAAGAACTATTGCAATGAAATCAGAATGGAAAGATATAGACTTAGGATGATGAACAAGTGTTGTATTCCATGTGGTTACAGAATAATTTCTCAACATAAAGATTTGTAAGGGGTGTATGTGTGTAGGGTGTATAAGAATAATTGTTAAAAACATCTAGATTTACATTGTGTTTGGCAAATGTGAGAATAAGGTTTCAACTTTCAAACTGTTGAGACTTGGTAATTTATTTATGAGGAAATACATTTGTGATGACCAAATGATTAATGGAAATTAATAAAGCTGTTCGGTGTCAAAGGTTGAGTCTTTTGGCTCAAATTTTGATGTGCATCCACAAATATCTTAAAATAGAAAAGAGATGGATTAAAATTATCTTTTCTCTAAAATATTAAGATTTTATTATGTTCATATGTTCACTCATCATCTATATGGTATCAGTGATATTTAAGCAATTTATTTGCAGACAAACTGAACATACTCAGTTTCATAAAGGTATTTTGTGATATCTACTTAAAAATATCCATTAATTCACAAGAATGCATGCAATGAAATTCTGTATCTGAAAATACAACTATTAGAGTTCAAAGGAATGGGCTTATCAGTATAGATTGTGAACTATCAATATATAAATATGTATATTTATAAATATATATTTCTGTATATATGATTTTTTTCTGATAGAAAAACAGCCATATGGAAAATGGCATTTCAATTAAGTGCTGTTGGAATGAGGAAATTTTTTTTTCATTATTTCTGAGATTTTTTTTCTTTCATTTCATTTAGAAAATCCACTGGAGATGGTTTCAAGATGTAGAATCCTTCTGTGTGCTCTGTCCTCAGTGAAGCTGGAATCTGTGTGTTGAAACTGCTTCATGTTCTGGTAAGAAGAAAATATTCTTAATGTTGTTGACACTTGGGGAATGTGATGGATGTGTACAAGTGGGCTTCTGAGAGTTTTTGGGAAAAGTGAAATTAAAAGATGTGCATATTTTCCACAAACCATATGTTTATTTATATACACATGCACGCAGAAGGTTTTCAAGTGTATATATATATATGTGTGTCTATGTATATTTGATTTTTTTCTTGTGAACAAATAATGAGATTAAAAAATGATGAATGTTTGTCATCCAAAGACTTAGAAAATAAAAACATCCATGTTTTGCAATGTTGATTTTTCTGGATGCTAAAGTAGAGTAGCGAAAATTTAAATATAAATTTAAATCCTAAAGTAGAATGGCAAATTTTGCTATATAATTAAAATTTGACTATAAATCTATAGACAGTTTATATTAGCCATCAGTTATGATAACAGAGCTAGAGGAGGTATGCTGAGAGTATAGCTCTGAACAGAAGACAATCCTGTCTAATCATGCAGTTGGCAAATGGCACAAGAACGCTTGGAGTGTAAGTGCTTCCGTTTCCAGCAACTCTGCTGCCCTGTCATGGTGTTGCATTTGTGATGGGGAGAAGCCCCAGACCAAAACATAATTAGCTTAGCTTGAAGGCAGGACCGTTGAGAATGAAACTGCCACGTAGAAATGCCTTCCATCAGAATTTAAAGTGAAGATGTTTCCTTAATGTTTTGCTATCCTTGAAGAAAGATTTCCCATAGTCATTAATCGGTTATGTAGATGATTTTATTCCATATAAATTAAAATTTATGAAAGAAATGACTTGGGAACTGTATCGTCGGTTTTTCTTTCATTGTAAAATGAAAATCTGTAGACTTGTTTTTGATACACATGACATGACCAATAGCTATTGTTATGAAACTAGTATTAATCCTCCTTATATGGCTAGCTGATATACTACCTTCAGCAACCAGGTAGTAAAATCTCATTTATTGTTACCTGTGCAACAAGGTTGTTGCAATCTATACATATAAAGACAAATGTGAAGCACCTACCACTCTGTCTGGCCCACAGCAAATGTTATTAAACAGAAGCCACAACAAAGAACTTATCATATAAAATCTGTTAAGAAGTAATCTGTTGTATTATAGTTTTATCCATGACAATTTGTGTTTAAAGAAATGTTCATTTGAAAGATTCTTTTCATTCAGTATTATGGGACATTAGGATCAAGTATTGCTTTGCTCTTGTAGAAGATATTCCTTTATACAGAATACATTAATTTGCTATGTGAAGGACAGTTGTGGATTGGGCTTGAATCCTCTAGAATTCAGTATCCTGAAGGAATCCAGTTGGTGAGCAAAGCATGGGCACTTTTCATTCTTGAGATTCAGCATTACTGTCAAATATAGTGGCTCTATCTATCCTACCAAAAAATACTTTATTTTTTTTCGAATTTTAAACAAATGTGTCCTAGCGTTGCCATCCAGATGCTCTGTTTTTACAGGGGAGATTTGCTTCAGTTATTCAATACTCACTTTTTGGGATGTTGTAGATTGTTGTCTTAAGTGGCAGGGTGCTTAATGACACTTGATTCTACGTTAGTAATAGCAAAGGTTTTGATTCTGTAATATGTAAAAAGTTAGTAGAATAGGTAAGCAAGAAAGCAAGACAGCTTGGGTAGATAGATGTTGCCTCAATTAATAGTAGAAACGGGAGTTATTTGCGTAACATTTATTGAGGAGCACCTGAAAAGCCGTGTAGCCTTCTTCTGTATTAACTTGCTTGATTTTAGTGCTAGTCCTTTTCAACATTTTGTGTTCTCATTATACAGATGAATAAAAATAGCTCTATAGAGGTTAATAGCTGATTACGTTGGAAAATGGTGGTTCTAGAAACCACTCTCGGCACCACGACAGTGTGCATCTGACACTGTGGTTTTCTAATCCTAGGATAATTCAATTTTCCAGCTGTGAAAGCTTTTTGTGCTAGTAGCATAAGCACATATGGGAACGACCAGCCTATATTTGTTTTGTTTAAGCTCCTGAACACTTAATTCACCATTACCTACTTAGAGGCATCACAAGTGTAGGCCTATTTGCTTATCTGCTTTGTAAAACCACTCATGAAGAAGTTTTCTGAAAAATGTCTCAAGTATAATATTGTACATTCCTGTTGTTTATTATCAGTGTGCTAGTGGATTTTAGCCTATGCTGTTGAGTGCTTGAATAATATCAATTATCAAGAGGTTAAGCCCGGCAGAGCAGCTGGTCCTATAATCTCTTTTGACATAAAGAAACAAAAAAAACAAAAAAATTCATATTTATTTATACTGTGTTAAAGTAATCTAGATAGGTAAATTTATATACACGTTTGTTTTTATTAATTTAGATTTGTATTTGTGTTTCTGTTTGTATTTGTATTTATGTCTGTGTTTGAATTGTAACTGATTTCTAGACAGTAAGATGCCACCTAAAGTTCATTGCCTTGGTCATGCACTTGAAAGCTATATGGTGCATTTTTTTTTTTTGGTAAAATTTAAAAAATGATTGTAGTATGGAATGTCCTGATGAGTCATCTAACATATGGTAAAACAAAACAACAGTCTGAAAATAGCAGAGCTTTTTTATTTAAGATTTATTTATTTTTTATTGGAAAGTCAGATTTACAGAGAGAAGGAGGGACAAAGATCTTCTATCCACTGATTCACTCCCCAAGTGACTGCAATAGCCAGAGGGGAGCTGATCCAAAGCCAGGAGCTAGTTGCTTGTTCCAGGTCTCTCATGTGGGTTCAGGTTCCAAGGCTCTGGGCTGTACTCTGCTCTCCGAAGCCAGGAGCCATGAACTGCTTCTGAGTCTCCTGCACAGGTGTAGGGTCCCTAGGCTTTGGGCCATTCCATACTGATTTCCCAGTCCACAAGCATGGAGCTGGATGAGAAGTGGAGCAGCTGAGACATGAACCAGCACACATTTGGTATCGTGGAGCTTTCAAGGAGGGCCCTGAAATGTCAGACTAAATAGCACATATCAAAGAAATGTAGTTGCTTTTCCTGGAAAGGGAAGCTAGAATAATTTTTTTTCAGAATGTCACAACTGGTTAGTGACAGAGGAAGGAAACAAATTCACACTCATGTGCATCTGCTGTCCTAGCTTAGCCCTCCCAGCTATAGAGTTCTTTTATTCTTTGTCGTGTGTATAAATAAATTCCATCTACAGTTTGGAACACCTACCCCACTCTCTTTTTAAAAATTTATTTTTGAGAGACAGGGAGAAAGAGTATGTTCTGTCCACTGGTTCCACGGTTCTAAAAGGACACATGAGTTGGGGCTGGGTCAGGCCACAGCTAGGACTCCAGTACTTGAGCTGGGTTGTGCACATGGGTGACAGGTACTAAAACTAGCACTACTGTATGGGTTGTGGGTGTCCCAAGCTGTGTTTAAGTTACTGCCTATGATGCCCACTCATCTCCATTACTCAACACTCAGGCTTTCAAGTTGCAGTAGTATTATAAATTGAAAATGATAAAATATACACATTTAGAAGTTTTTAAAAATAGTTTTTAAATTTTGTATTTGAAAGACAGATTTTACAGAGAGAAGGAGAAATAGAATAGGTCTTTCATATGCTGGTTCACTCCTCAGTGGCTACAACAGCTGAGTTGATTCAAAGCTGGGAACCAGAAATTCTTCTAAGTTGCCCACATGGGTACAGAGTCCCAAGGTGTTGGGTCATCCTCTACCACTTTCTCAGGTGACAAGCAGGGAGCTGGATTGGAATGGAGCACTGGAGCATGAACCTGGACCAATAGAGGTGACAGCACCACAGGGGGAAGGATTAGTGTGCAGTGTCACCGCCCCAGCTCCCTAGAAGTCTTTTCAAGAAAAAAACTTCCCAATATTCAGCTTTCATGTGAACTCTGCTATCATTTATTCAAGTGGCATTCCATTCAGCATGTAAGTGTGTATTTTTGTTTTGTTTTGTTTTGTTTTACAACCTCTCCATTCATAATTTTTATGCATGACACATGACAGGTCCACCTCTATCTTTTGTTCTGACTTCTCAGCCTATTCTTCCCTAGAGGAAAATAAATTAGTGATGCTCAGAAAAGTGAAGAATCAAGAATAAGCTGTAGCCTAAAATATACAATTCCAGGGAACCCATGAAGGAAGGTACATGAGAAATAAAGGTGAAGCATACTTCTTTCAGATGGAAAACTTTAATGATAATACTGATCTTGCCAATGCATTGTCTACTGCTGGATTAAGCTGTTTTTCCGCCCACCTTTACATTTCATATCGATATAACCAATGTTTCAAAAAGCATATGCATATACACAAGGGGCCAAAAGCTTGGCACATCACATGCTGATTTCCCAGGCTGTTAGCAGGGAACTGACTTGGAAGTGGAGCTCATATGCATTGCAGCCATTTCAGGCAGCTCCACTAGCCTCCTTAATGTCATTGCTTAACATGTGTGAGAGTGGAGGGAGACTTGGAAGGAGTTCTTGGCTTCCGCCTGGTCCAGTTCTGGCCATTGTGACTCTCCGAGGAGTGAGCCAGCAGGTGGTAGCTGCTTCTCTCTGTGTGTCTTTCTCTCTGCAATTTTAACTGCCACATAAATAAATGAATAAATCTTTAGAAAGGAATGGGAGCATAGGAAAAAAAAAGGTATGGGAGTGTGTACTTGCAGTTTTGTGTTGTTTATGTTTGTTTTTCAAATTATTTCAGAATCAAACATTGAAATGTTCTTCTCAAGTATATTTTTCGCCCCAAGGAGTTGAAGGAAGAGGGTGTTATGTAAACTGTAGCACCCCAGGTTTTTGTTGTTTTCTAAAATTTCTGTTTTCAAGTATTTTCAGGATCATTCCTAAGGCTTATGGAAACTTCACCTTTGTATATCTCGAAGATTAGTGCCAATCCCTTGAAGACAATTATCGTTCCAATTATTTTTAGAGTTATTATTTTTTATTTAAATTTTTATTTTTTATTGAAAGTCATATTTACAAAAAGAAGGAGAGACAGAAAGA